TCTGCTGCCTTGACTTTTCCAGTGACTGGTACTCCTACTTTGTGCTAAATCTTTCCTAGTATTAAAACAGCAATCAATGATTTTTTTTTCCACTAACCCACCACAGAAATGCACTTCAAAACTGCCTGTTTCTGCGAGGAGAAAGAAGCTAAGAAGAAACTCTGAAAAGCTCAGACAGCCTAGAAAAACACAAACAAGCCACTGGAGCTACAAGGAACTCAAAGCCAAGTGCTACAACAGGGAAGCCTGTGGTTGATGAGCTCTGGAGAGCAGAACATTATAAAACACTTCAAGGACATGAGGAGAAGGCCGCCAGCAAAAACAGCAACAACAAAAAATCAAAGCAATGCCTTGAAGTCTTTATGGGCTCCAAAAACTCCACATTGCTGCCAATTTGTGTGTTCACTATACTGTAAATACACACAGATTTTGGGAGCATTCACTTCAGACAGTTCTTTCATTCCAAGTATCTTGGCAAACAAGTCAACAACAGTTGTCTTTCTTCCTGGTTTTGCTAGCAGCGCAAAGGTTCTCCCTTCATTGTAAGTGATCAAATGTAATGAATGTAGTTCCAAACTTGTCAGCTTGAATGGTGGGAGAGGGTGGAAAGAGCAGAATATTGGTAATATTCCACCATCTGCAGTCACTTCTGTTATTGGCTTCAGCACAAATTTCAGTAATTTATAAATATTTGAATGCTCAAATATGCTCACATTACTGCCTCAGACACCATCCATTTTTCCTTACCAACAACACCAACATAGTCTTTAGAGTGGAGGATAGCCTACTGCTAACTTAGGACCTGGGATAACATGAAAATTAAATGCTGGGAAAAAAATCCAGAATGGCTAGATACACTATGGTAGTACCTACTTTGGAAAACTCAAAGAGTCAGGTTATGTGCAGGCATCTCTGCAAGGGCAGCACATCAAGTACCAAGCATCCCAAGAGTCACCACAAGTGACATGCAGCATTTGGGGCAAAAGTGGCAAATTTTGGCAGTTGCATGATACAACCTGAACCCTTAAAGAGATGTATTACCAGTAAAGAAAAACTTCTTCCTGAACCTTTCACACATCCTCCAAACCCAACAAAGATACATCAAAAAACTTGAGCACTTAGTTGGACTGTTACTTTATCCAAGCTCTCTTTCTCCTATGATGTCTGAAAGAACTGCATACTCCACAGAACTTCATTCTCATTCACATCCTATGAACTACAACACTGTTATTCCAGAACAAGCTTTCTCACTACATGGGTGCTGCATATTGCCAGGTCACCTTAGAGCAAAAGCTCCTCCATCCCCAGCCCCAAAGCCACATTATTTTACAAAGTACCTTAACCATGTCTCCCCTATCTTTACAAGGCAGCTTTTTCCTTTTATCTCCCTCCTTCCAGATCAGGGAACAGAAGGGGAGCTCTGACTAAAGTACAAGAATGCTTCCCTTCCATGGACCATGAGATGAATGAAAAGGGAAAGGTCTCCACAAACCCTCTGCATAGAGCCTAGCCCCATCCAGGGCACAGTAAGGCACTGCAGCACTCGGTTTCACAGCCAGCGATGATCCCTGGCCCACACAAACCTCTTTCCAGACTTAATATTTCTCAGTTTGGAAGGCCACAACCTTATATGAGAAGCAGTGAGCAGGTCCCACCCGCAGCGCTGCCCTCCTACCCCAGCACCACAAAGATTACCTCTTTCATTCTTATTTCTACTGAGAGCCCCGAGGCCCAGGCAGTGCAGCCTCATTGGGAACAGACGCCTGCAAACACAGCATCCAACAATGACACAGTGGCATGGGCACAACAGCTGGAGTGATTTCCATACCTGTTTCTGTCCAGAGCAGAAAGGCCCTTCAGTCCCTTTCTTCCAGGCACCCAGACTCCAGCAGAAGGGAAAATTTATCTAAGCAGGAAAATTATGGCATGGGGCCTGCACTGACATGGTGAAAGTTAGAGGAATAAGGGTTTACATTGGTTAATGGCAGCAAAGCTTCTCCCATAATCAGCCAGGCCAAACAGGGATAAGGCACCATCCTCACAGGTCAGAATTCTGTGGTCTTTGACAGCAGTCTGGATAACCAGAAAAGCATGACAAGTTCTCAACAGGAATTGTTTCTTTCAGGTTTGATGCTTCATCCAAGTAAAATGTTTATAAACACACAGAATAATTCCTGCCATAACAGACCATGACCTGAAAGGGCTGAAGGGCCCCCAGCAAGGGACACAGGCTACAGAGCCACTGACATTAAAAACAGCTCTCCCAAGGAAAGAAGAACCAGAGGCAGAACAGAAGTCCATTCAACCCAGTCAGTTCCCTAACAGACAAAAACCAGATGAACAGAAAAGAGTATCCTTGATTTTAAGTGATTAGCTAGCAATGATTTTCAGTTTAGAAGCTTCCTGAGGTTTCTATATATTAAGACAGACTTACTAAATATCTTCCTCGAACTTGTCCAAAAGTCTCTCAAATCAGTATATCCTTTTAGTATATAGCGTCCTGTGACAAGGAATTCTATGCCTCAATTTTCTGACACACTGACAACTACCTTCTTCCATCTACTCTAGCTCCTGCTTGCCTTACTTGATGCCACTCACTCATACTCAAGAACAATAACTCAATGCATTCCAGCTTCTCCTTGGCACATTATTTCCTTTCCAGTCACATCTTTTACAGACTGGCAAGTCCTAACCTATTCAGTCTTTCTTTGGACAGAAGAAGATCTCTTTGGACAGACATTGCAGATCTCTGATGAACCTCATTCCCCTTCTCTGCACCTTCACCAGCTCTTTTTGAAGAAGTGAATCCAGATCTGGATATTATTCAGACAAACCCTGATCCGTACACAGAGATGTTCTCTATTTTGTTCTGAATACTTTGCTTTTGGAAGGAGGTTGTTTTCAATTTGACTGCTATTCAGTAATGAGCTGATGATTTCACCACCTTAAGACTTTGCTCCAAAGCCATAATGATCAACGCAAGAGCTCACTGAGCTGTGTATGAAGCTCAAATTATTTTCCCTGCGCATCATCACATTTACCTATGTAGAGCTAGCTGGATAAGCCAAAAATGCAAAGTCATGCAGCTGTTAACTAATGTGATAGTAATCTCTTTGTAATATCATGTTACAATCCCTAAAAAATATTCTAAGGATGAGATTCTACTTGCTTTCCACATTTGGCAAGTAATTGTACAGATTAAGTATAGTTAAGATTGTGCTTTAAAACTCCATTTTATTTTAATTATACCAAATTTCTCAACCACTAGTTCAATTTGACTATGGTGTGATTACATGTGGCAGGTTTGGATTTGACACCCTTTATCTTAGTTGGACGTTATTCCTCTTTCACGGTGACAGAGAGGATATGAGAAATGAGAAAAAATATTTTCCTTAAAACAATCCATTTGCAAAGAATTTTCTACTTTTGAGCACAGCATCTTGAACAGTCCCAGATCTGTATCAAAGTCAAGGCTTTGCATCTTTGCCATGTGCCACAGCAAGTATTGCAATCCACAGAAAGCTACTGCAGACTGGAGATGTCTGACAATAAAATCGATCAGGTTCTTCACAAAGTTGTGATTTCTAATGAAGTCCCTAAGACTGGGCTGTAAGGCACCTCCAAGTCTTCAAAGAGCACTAATTTAATATGTGCTCATGTCTCAGGGAGCTGCCACAAAGAATGAATTTCACAGTAAATGTCACAACTAGGAAACTGGGAAATTGCCACACGTATAACAAGCACCAGTAATGATGCCAGGTACAGAACAAAGGCTTTAACGCAGCAAATTAAACAAAATTTCTGCCATAAGGTTTCTTATTTCAAAGACAACAAGATGTAATTATTCCTGTGGTGTTTTATTGAAAAAGTCATGTTTCAGGAGACATCCAGAGAAACATGAGATGTGCACTGAGAAAGAGAAAATAAAATAAAGCAGTACTTCAGGACAGGGGAGGCAGGCAAGGGGCAAATGGAGGCAAGCAGAGGATTTAAAACATTTTAAGAAACAGACCAAAGTTAACAAGGGTGACTAGAACCAGCATCAGAGGATCAACAGGAGGCAGACACAGGTCTGAACATTTAGTCAACTAAAAGCATCTGCATGTGTATTTCTTCCACATGGCCTGGTCAGCAAGTTGTGGAACTTGGAAAACTCCATTGCAAACAACTTCCAAGGCATGTTAATCACTACCTAGCTCACCATGCTGCCTGAAAAGTCCCTCTCTCTATCCCTCTCCCCACCCCAGCCCTTCTCAGGGCATCAAACAAGAATTGTCACTGCTGCTACATGAGCCTTTACTCTGAAGGATCTCTGGAGCATCAGTCTGGAAGGGTCCATGCAGTTCTGAATGACAGAACATTCTAAAAAGCATGACTCTGGGGCAAAGTCACTGGCAAAATCATTCAATCACTCCTAATGTGTGATTTACACAGCCAATAGTCTCTGGCCAGGGACACCAAGACCACCTTATATGTCACTTGCAAAAAAATCTCCAGGAATCTGAATTTGAAAACCTGTATTTCAGTGTTTTCAGAGAAAAATTACACAGAGAGAATGCATATCCCTCAGTGCACACTGACTCTCACATAGTGATTTCAAAAAAGTCAGATTTCTGTCTAATATGGCCTCTAGCTCCCACTGTAGCAATTGGAAACAGTTCCCTGTCCACACTGAGTCTCATCTTACTATCCTAGTCGAGCTACAGATAAAGCACACTCAGCTCAGCTCTCACAATAACATTCCAGGTTAACTACAGCTCCAACTCTGTACCAAACAATGTGAATCCCCACCCCTGCCCCCAGCCTGCCTCTGCCTATTGCTGCACAAGGTGGACCTCTTCTGGTGAAGAGCCTGTGTTCCTAAACACCTGGTTCCACTCGCCTTGGCTGAGCAGAAGCCTACAGCATTATTCAGCTTCTTTTAGAAGTAACTAAAGCCTGAGGCAGGGTTAAGTGGAGCACAAACCAGAGAGAATCAGAGCCCATGCATGAGTTCTTACCTCAAACAGCGTCAGACTTTCATCGTTCAAGATGATTCTGGGAGGTGCAACAACTGAAGTTAAAAAACAAGTTACAAAACAGGATCACCTAGCAGCCAGAACATCAAACACAGGTATGGGAGGCATCCCTGCTCTCTGAAGGGATGACACATTCATATGCCTACAGAGGCTGCTTCTTAGGCAGAAGCATAACATGGCTAAGGGAGCAGGTTACACCTTCTTTGCACTGCGAAGCTGTGTTTTAGGGAAGGCATTCCCTTCCAGGTCATCTCTCAGGCATCAACATCCCACAGCTAGAAACAGGCTTTATAAAGTAAGGCCAAATATTACCAACAGCACTCACACAAGTAAAATGGCAACTCTGCATCAGCAAGGTGGCTTCTTACAAAGTCTCTCAAAATGCCAACTGTGGAAAAAGGAGAGAAAGGTTTCCTATATTACATTTGGTTCTTCAAATGTTGGACAAGAAGACTAACCTGTAACAGCAGAAATGCACTCTAGAAGGTATGGAGATTGACTTTTACTCCAAAGTACACAGTTGCCATCACAAATTTCTTGTAGAAAAAACAAACAGAACAAACCACTTTGATGTACTGGTCCCTTGGAAAAATCTAAGGATGCCTACAAAATTATAAAAAAAATTTGTATAGGTAACCATGGCTGACAGCTGAGAATAAGAGGATCTCCAGTAATAACAGTAAGAGCTACTTGGTGCATGGTCTGATTACCTTTTGTGAACTGACAGAGCCATAAAGGTACATCCTCTCTTAGTAGAGTTGCTGAAGTTTGTTTTTGGTTTTTTTTTCCTCCTTCCTGCTTTTTGGGGTAGGTTTTGGACTGGGGAAGGGGGTGAAAAATGTTTTACACACTAACGCAGAGGAGGTCCCCAAATCCATTCCAGTAACACATCATTTAGACACAAGGGGATAGCAAGTGGGACCACTTCCTGTCTACACAAGGACAAGTATTTTGCCATCTCTACCAAGCAGCCCTTAGCTAACCTAACTAGCCCAAAGTCTCCTCTTAGTCCATTCAGGGTCCTACAATGACAATGTAACTACCTTCTGCTGCTTTTTTAGAGCAGCTTTACTTTGCCAGGCAACAGTGTGACCTGTTGAGACAGTCTCTCCTGTCATGGTGGGAGCCATGAGTTACAGCTGCACAGGCTCCAGAGGTGACTGGCCTTACCAGTTTCAGTGGGATGGAAAAAGCCCTGCAGAACATGGCGGTCTGGAAAACGAACTCTCACCACCACCTAAAGCAGAGATAACACCCATCAGGACAGTGGTTTATCACTCCTCTGTAACACCTGTCCTTGGCTTAGAATCTGCAAGTTGTGTATTTGTTGGTTTTCTTTAATGGGGAGGTCTGAGGTATTTACAGGGAGAGAAGAGCAACCTAGCTAACAGTGCTGTGCAGCTTCTCAGGGAACAAGGGCTGTCTAGCTTTCAGAAGGGGCACAAGAGCTCATCTGTCAAAGCACTATGATGTAAAATGCAGCAGCACTTCCTCAGAGAGTAGAAGCTCCCTGTGCTAAATGATGCACCAACAACAAAGACAGAACCTCACAGACAGGTGCAGACAGTTTACTGGCATCCTAATGTGTCCACAGCAGTAGGAATCCTCCTGACATACCTCTGACCTTTATACCTCCAGCTTGGTCAGAAAGCACTTCACTTGAAAACTGCACAAGGATCAGAGTTACAGAGTAAAATAAACCCAACTTGTAACATTGAATAATTTTTAACTTTTAACAAGTTTCTAACAAAATGTCTACAGAGAGCAGGCAGAAAGGTTCAGTCATACAAACTGACCCATGTACAACAGAAAGGTTTTGAGACATCTGGAACAGAACAGAAGCAACTGTACTGCCTGTCTCTCAACCAGTGACATATTACCATATTACAGTACAGCTGTTTTCACATGGCACAACTGTTATGCAAGTCCCAGAAACAATTAATAGGGACGGGAATTTGAAAAATCTCCCTCTAAGTAACTTAAGGGCTGTTGATCACCATTGAATCCCAAGGTACTCAATCCCCAAGTCTGGACTAGCCAGAGGGATTGGAAAACCAACAAATACTACCTTTGGGTAACGCTCCAACTTCTCCTTCAGCTGGGACTCCTTCAAGGATTTTGTCATCAGTGGAGCTTCTTCCAGGCGTTTCCTACAGTCATGGGAAGAAGGCAAGTTGTCTGTAATTTTACAATGTATTTTTACTTTATTAAGCTAGCAGAAGACCCAAGCAGGTCTGATGAGAACTGCTGAGTTGTTTGATGCATCTCTCACAGTATTTTCCCTACCTCCTGAAACTACTTAGCATAAGCAACAATGCTATATAAAATTATTTTTATTTTACAAGTTCATGACAGCAGATGCAAAAAAAGATCCTAAGAGGACAGGAAAGTCTGCTTAGACTACTCAAGAAGAGGTGGACTTATTAATCCAATAAAGCAGAGCAGGGTTGGACATGATTACTCCACGGGGGCAGAATAGCTACTGAACTTGAAAAACAATGCCAGCACAAAAAAATTAGTATTAATTAGCAACAGGGAAAAAAATGAAAAGTTTTAGATCATTCAAGAACTGGCATTGTAGATGGCTATTAAAAGAAACAGTGGGTAGAAAATAAAAGTCTACTTGCATTTAAGAGGAAACAATAAATGTAAGAAAACAATTACATATTTTCCCATAAGCAAAGAAACTAGCTTAGACCAAACAGATCCCATGCTCAGCCATAGTACATTTTCTTTGTATCCAAGTTACTGATGTGTAACTTGCCTTTATTTTTATCCCTGGCTGTAAGGGGAAAGCATCAGAAAATTTGGAAATTGGGTTTTTCTGGGGACCTATATTCCAGTAATTCCCAACCAAGTGACTCTACATTTGTACCACTAAATACTCCAGACCCACAAGCAGCAGAGCAATTTTCAGGCCATATTCTGTGTACTCAGTGCCCTGTGGGAAAAAAATCAACTCTAAGTAAGAAGTTGAACTTGGACTTGGCGATAGCATAAAGGAGACTGTTTCACAGTCTTGAAGAGTTATTGCAATGTTTAAAAGAATGCTTTGACCCACTTAAAACTAAATACATTCATGAAATTAACTTCTTCAAGGAACATACAGACAGCAAAATGGTGCTGTGACAGAAAGGACAGTTTATCTTCATCTGAGTTTTTACTGAAGTTTGATGAAGTAAAAGCATTACTACTTCAAAGCAAGCTACCTGAACAGCACAATACATTGTTAGTCAGCTTCCTATAATTTCTATGTGTGTGTGTGCGCTTCTTCGAAACATTCTCAGGTCTTGACCTGTAGCTGAGCTGTTCTTTCTGATGAGGTCTAATAAAAGGCTAATTCTGTTACTTAGAAGATAAGGTATTTTTTACTGGCCAAAATTAAAACTAGTTCTGTTGATCACTGTCACTCTGCTCAACAACAGGACACCGCAAATCTCACTCACAGCAGAAAGGGAACTTGCCTCTCATTCTGCAGCTGTGCCAAACGTTTCCGTACATCATCCACTGTGACTTCAAAAAATTCATCAGGAAGCTCTTCTGAGCCATCAGGAAGCTGTTCCAGTAAGTCTAGGTGACATATAAGGGGCTCACGTTCTACAAGCTACAGAAAAAAAAAATAGCTCAAATCAGTTTTAAACACATTGCTTTGCTTAGCTTATAAGGTTCCTGAAAAAGAGTTAAAGGACATTATTTGCAAACTGTCTTTTGACCTGTTCAGCTCTCTGAACTAAACCACTGCAGGGTTTCATTGCACACCTTTCAAAATTTTACCCTGGTTTCTGGTGTGCAGAAAGATCCCTTAAACAGTGAAACTCTTGTTTTGCATTTACAAAGTGAGAGATCACCCTTTGCTGCAACTAGAGCACACAGATGCAGGAGAGCAGTTCTAGGCATCAGCTGCAATAAAGGTACTTAATACATTTACTGGCAATTTTCCCTACACACCAGAGCTAAGAGCAGGCACTCCAAGCTGCACGCAGACACCCCTCTCACCTGCCCTGCAGGGCAGAGCCTGCCTGCCTGCTCCCCCAGCCTCCAGAGCCCAGAGCTGGATGTCATGATGGCAATCCTTCCGGTGCTACTGGGCCTAGCCTCAAACTGTGGTTGAAGTTATGAAAAAACCAAAACAAAACAAGCCATTAGCCACAATTCCCTAAAAAACTCAGCCCCAACCACTGAGATCAAGAGCATTTGCCATCTCTGCAGGCAGCAGGATTTTAATGGATCCCTCCTCAGGAAAGGTTATGTCTGGCTACTCTCTCTTTTATCCAAAGCAGCAGCTGTGCCTATGTGAATACAAACCATGACCAGAGTCAAGCATACGAGAGGCAGTTACACCTCCTGGATCTCAAACAAGTTAAACTTTTTGAATTCCAAAACTGTTTAAAGGAACAAAGCTTGCAAACATAGAGAACAGCATACTGAAGGCCACAGGAGATGCAGGGAGGACACAGCTCATGGCTGAAGAGCCTCACAGGAACAAAAATTTTGGTAGTTAATCCAGCATTTCTTCCTAGTCAGCTGCCAGCTGAACAATGCCACACACTCTGTGAGTAAACCTGCTGCCCATTTCTTCTCCCCTCATTCTCTCATACACTCTTTCCAATCCTAATTAACACTCGGATGTCCTCCCTCCATCCACTCACCCCTCCTCCAGGCACTGGCCACTTGGGAACAGGAGTCTTCTCAATTGTCTAAAGCACAACACAAATTACAAGGCAATGTTCACTCTACTTGTGGGCACTAAAGGGTAATTTGAGAAATTAAAAGATGGAGGTTGTGTGGGTGGGACCTTTGGCTACTTTTAGAAAGTTGAGCAGGGTCAGCCCTAACGAGCGGGTACAGGAGCCTGGCTGCAGCTTTCCCCGGCACAGGGCAGGGGTGCTGCAGGAAGGACCCCACGTGCCCAGGACCATCTGCTAGTTAGCAGGTTGCACTGTGATCCCACCACTGCCCACTGATGCTCCAGTGAGGGCACATCTATGTCAGAGGCCAGAGGAGAATTAATCAGGCCCGCCCAAGAACCCAGTGTACTTTAATCTCCTCAAACAGGCTTGAGTTTCATTTCATTCTAAACACGTAGTGAAAACAGACATCTGCTGAAAAAGCCCAAACCCAAAAGACTGCGGAGGCATATCCTATGGCATGTTGTGAAGGGCAGTAGGACACAATGGAGAGAACTCCAAAGTCTGTATTAGGAAATCCTAAATTACATTTAGTATTGGCTCTAACAACGACGTTAGTTAATTCCAACAGCAGTGGGATTCCACAGGGAAAGGGCCAGCCCCCATCCAAATTATGATGACAGTTAATGGCATCTGCCAAGGCATTGGGAATAACAAGCTAGCACAAGGCAGACATATATTCCACTCCTAAGTGTTCACTCCTCTTCCTTGCTGTGGGCTCCAACAATCCTAAAGCACAGACAGAATCCAAAAATTAACTGCCTACAATGCTTACAAACGAGACTCCAAGAATACTAACCCACTTCCCAACCTACTGCACTTGCTGTGTTTTCTGCAACTGTGACAAAAGATAACCATCTCCTGTAACAATAAATGGCCACCACACGGATGTTCTATTTTCCATTATGTAAACTGGAGGAAAGCAAGCTGCACATTCTGCTGTCCTACTTCTTCCAGGAGTGAAAGATGCTTTGCTAATGTTTGGCATCTTCCTTCTTCAAAGTCTATTCTTCCACCAAAGCCGAAATGTCAGGCACTTTTCACCAAGAGGCTGAAGCCTTATGTTCACAGCAGCATCTACATAAGTGCAGCCCACGTGACAAAGCCAGGTGTCAGGAAGAATGCAGTTCACTCTGCGGTCACTATCCCGGTCCCAGGAAAGCAGGTAAGCTGAGGAAAACTCTTATGACTTAAGTGAAATAGGGGTCATTGTGCTTTCCACAGCAGCAAGCTCTCCCCAGAGACCCACTTCCTCCCTACCACCTCTAGGAGCTCTAATCTCATGCTCAATCTGGTTTAAAGTTACCTCCTAATAATTAACATTCTGACATCAAAGTCAGCTTGCAGCTGTCTGTAAACCATCTTTAGCCCAAGAAACGAAGGGATGCCAGCACAGATTTTATCCAGCCTCTCTTCAGCTTCAAAAACCACACACAGGCAAAGCATTAATGGGAAGATTCTTTTACAAAAACAGACCTTTGATGTTTAAAAATAATTTGTTTTGTTTTGGGTTTTTTTTTCCTCAGGACTGAAAAAGGACAAAAAGCAGATGCCATGTGGCTAGCCCTACTTGGCTGTTGCCGCTGGGAGGAGAGTAGAAGATGGTAGGAGTGGAGGAGGGAACAAAATGTAATCAATCAGCAGCAAAAGTACCAGAGATCAAAGGGCTTGAAAGCAGCCGTCAAAATCACATGCTGTTTAACACAAGGACACAACTCCCCCAACAGAATCTGCAGCTGCTTCCAAAGCCGCTCTCAGAGTGGAAGGGCGGCTGGCTCCAGCAGTGGCTTGAACTGGACTGTGATTCTCACAAAGACATCGGTTCATGTGAGTCCTTCAGTCACCACCACTCAGCCCATGCCTAAAAGCACAGCTACACATCAGGCTGTGAATCAGTGAAATTATGGAGTCCTGCCTCTCCCACCAGTGCACAGAGAAGTGTGGGCAACAAGACTGGTGAAGGATACCACCACAAACCCTTGCAACACTTTTCCCTTCCCAGACACAATGGAAACTCCTCCTTTGCAAACCCCTCATAGACAAGAGTGCAACTGAAGCACGCAACATGTGAGACTGGACAAACCATCCAGCCTACTGTTTACATCTCCATGTTAAGGGTCTGCTCCAAAAGGTTAAATAACACTGATTAGACAGTTTCTAATACACTCAAATATTCATCACTGCAGGTTGGCATGGCCTGCTACTTGTGCAGTTCATAACTGCTCCAGAGTCCTTTCAGGGTCTGGCTTCTGTTCCTAAACAATTCAGAAAACATCAAAAATAGGCTGTAACCACAAAGAAATCAACTAAGGTAGAGTCTCTACATCAACGTGAAAGCATCCACAGTCTTGCTAAATTCCTCGTGGACTAAGTTCCCTTTGAAGCTCCCCAGGCATCCTTTCTTTTTACTTATAGCTTTCTATTGTTCAATCCTGGCTGGATCAGACCAGAGGAGATTCAAACCTCCAACTCTAGGATGTACTAAAGAGTCAGAAACAACAAAGGGGATCTCTGAACATGAAAGCTGGCCCCAGTGATGAGCCAAAGGAGCCAGAAAAGAGCCACTTACTGAGAATCCAAAATGGGAAACTCAATGCATAATAAAAAGGAGTAAAATATTAATTAAATGGCTCCTGTTATGCTACTTGCCAGACATACCCAACCTTCCTGAAGACATTCAATTCTGTAGAGCTGCCCTACAGAAAACACACTTCAGTGTCATTCCCAGGTGACTCTGGCATCACAGCACTTTTCAGCCATCAGTTCTGGTATGTCAACATGGGCTCAAGCACTTTTAATTTTAACAAACACAGTTTTATTTCAGAGACACCAACAATGGGGAGATGTGCAATCAGTCTTTCTGGAAGATAGTTAGAGACAGGTAGACTACCTCAGAAGCAAGATATTTTAGATTAAGACAAAAAACACTTCTATAAGCAAGCAAAATTACAAAAGGAAAAGGATGGAAGGTTTCCGCTTCATCTGCAATACTAAGAAAATTAAGTCACAGGGCTCAGGTAACAAAGTGGGCATTTGTTCATGAAATCTGTGTAACTGAGGTGTAGGATCTTCTGGACTGTGATTTAATACAGCTGTGCTGTCTGTATTTGAACTAGTCATCAAGGATACCTAGAGATTCAAAGTTTTGCCTACCTCTGAACAGCAAATTCTTAAAACTCAAATCCTTCCTACTTCCTTTCTGAACTCAGGCAGAACTGTATGCCATTAAGGCACCTAATCCTGTGACACATGGAAAAAGTCCTAAATCTGGAAACATCTTTTTCCTCCTGGGAGTGCAGCTTCAGGCAAGGTAGGAAAAAAAAAAAATCCTTGTTGCCCAAAATGCAAATATATTTTGCCTTACCTGTTCTTGCTCCTTTCGCAGTTCTTGGCTGCTCTTAGACTTCTTTGGCTTAGAAGGGCCTCCAGGACTGGAAAAAGTTGTCGGCAGCTTTGAAGATGGTACAGCTACAGGAGAGTCCCCCAGAGGCTCTCCATCTCCAAAAGAAGGGACAAATTGGGTAGGCTCAGGCTCTGGAGAATGCCACAGCTCCTCCAAGCTAGCATGAGAATCTTTAATTGAGTCTTGCTTGTGTGTGCAGCTGTTTAAAGATACAGCCACATCCCTGTGCTCCAAGTCCTTTGGAAATGTGTTTGCTTGAGGTAGAGGCACATCCACTGCTTCTTCCATAGAGCCTCGCCTCACTGTTGGCTCATTACAAGGCACCGTGGCATCCACAACTTCCTCCCAAGCAGATGAACTGCATTTCTTCATGACAACTCTTGAAGAAGACACCAAAAGGAATAAAAATAAAATCACAATCTTAGGAGAACTGCCCTCCCTATTCTCAATGTGCCCATGACAAACACAGCAGCTGACTCAAAGACACCCAGATTTAACAACTTTCTTCTTCCAGATGCTTACAGAGAACAAGCTCCAGTTGCTGAGAAGTGTGGGGTAGAGGGTCAGGGAGTTGTGCAAAAGAACAGAACAGGGACCCACTCCTCTGGAAGGACACTGCCTTCTAGAGAAAAACAGCAGTCAGCTGTAAAGCATAGCTTCTAATCACTCCTGCCTTCCATATGTACCACAAAGAACTGGTCAGGAGATCACAGAAAGGTTGCCCTTGTCCCAAACTCAACCCGCAACAGCCACCAGGGCCTGTAGCAGCTGGGAGTTAAGTGCCTGAGATCCAGAGAAGGGAAGAATGAAGTCGTAGCTGATTATGCTCTCAGAGACACTTTTAACTTTGAATTCTCTGTTCCACTCAAAGAAGGAAGAAAAAAAAAAAAGAAACTAACAAACAAGCTCTTTTAATCTGCACATGACTGGTCAGTGCCAGCATCTGCTGCTGTGCGAAGCACATCTGGGCAGCAGTTTGAGATAAATAGGCAAACACAATAATTTCTGAGTGCTGCAATGTTTTAATTTGGCAACTTTTTTGTGATTTTTCTTTTTCTTTTTTTTTGTGTTTCTTTTGGTACTTAAAATAAATTCACCATCAGAGTGGAAAGGGAAAATAAAGAAGCCAAACTTTGCTTTTCCCAACCTGATAACAGCATTGCCTCCAATCAGGCCAAGCGATTTCAGTGTTGTCTTCTCCAGAGCATCTTTTCCTGATATCTACAACAAAACCAGAGGAGAGCAATTATGGCCTCTGATTCCCCAGGAAAGCATGTAAAGCTCTTCATAGAAAGAAACTTGTATCCAAAGAAACACCACACAACACAAGAAACAGTTGAAAACACACTCCTGCAGTTGAAAATCACACCTGAATCCATCTGTATCAACTTGTACTGTTTCACCAAATTCACAGCTTATTAAATCATCTCAATGGAAGATGACCTACATATATTTTCATCCCATACACACATCCAAGTGAGATCCAACTTCAGCAAAGCTACTTTTATGTCAGAAGTTAAACAACAGGCAACATCTCAGAGCTGCAAGACAGATGATTTCCTTACATATACCTCCTCTCCATCTGTAATGACTTATTCCAGAATAAAGACGATCTGTCCACAGAGGTCAATGAGAAGTAAAGGGGACAGCTAGGGAGAGAGAATTCCATAATATCCATATATAAAATATTTAACAAAACATTAATAGCAAAAGATCAAAACAGAGAAAAGCAAATATTTATTAAAATGAAAACACTGTTTTGACTCAAGCTTTAAAAGAAGCTGGAAAGAAAAACACAAATAGGTCATTGAGCTCATTTTATGGGCTCAGAGGTCTCAACGGCACAAGGTTACGTTCCAAGAGAGCTTTTTTCCATACAGACATGTCATGAGTTGAAAAGACCAACATTTTTCTACTTCCCCTCTCAAGAAAGTTCAAAAGAAACACGTTCCAGGCTGAAAGCAGAACTAAGTTTTCTTATGTTTTAGGAACATGAGACAGTTGAGAGGCCTTTGCTGCCTTACCTCATCTCGCATGTAAATACAGACTGGAGACAATTCACCATCCTGTTCCATCAACTCCCTGCAAGAAAGAGCAAAACACTGCAGCATCTGCAGAAAAGCCTACCCCTCCAAAACCAGCAGAGTGTAACAGTACAAAGTGAAATCAGCAGGAAACACTGTCCTCCATTTTTCTCCAGCAATAACCACTACACAGTTCACAGGACCACTGTTAGACACTAAGTACACAAATTGCTTCAATGCATTCACTTTTCCTTAAACACAGCCTAAAAGTTTAAAAACAAAGAAATAATTAAATTCTGAAATTAGCTGATCATACTAGATAAATTTAAACTCATCACTGTTCGTGTGCCTCAGTACCCAATCTGAAATGTCATTTAGTTATATTTGCTCTTTTTAATCCAAGTTAAAAACTTCACTACAGTTTAGACTAAATTCACTGGGGAGAAGTCCATTTTTTTTCACATATGCACAGCAACAAACAAAATTAAATACTGCTCTAAAGCAGATCAACTAAGGACAAGAAACTTGCCTTAGCATCATTTTCAAAAAAGAAAAGAGAAAGTAAACAAACTAAACAAACAAAACCAAAGAGCATGAACTTTCAGATTCTGGAGATCATGAAACAAGTAAAGCCAAATGAAAAACTGCCACTGTAGACAAAGTGAAAATCAACCCATATTTAAGGATTTCAACAATGTAGGACATGTGTGAGCAATGATGCAAACTCCTGACAGCCCATCTCTAGAGGAAGACAGAAGTGAAGGACACTTACCATCAAGATGGGGAAAAACCAGTAAAATGCTACTCTTTCCATTTTTCTCTAGATAAGCAATTCTGAGGCATTCCAGTAAAAGAGAAGCTTTATTGTATGTTCACTTGATCAAATACAAAAGACAGACAGGGAAAGGACAATCACAGCCTATCACATCAATTCTCAGTTCTCATCCAGCTAAGATGATCTGATTTCAAAAGGCGAGAAAAAAAAGGATTGACACTTTCAGCAAGAAAACCTCAGATGTCTACAGAAAAGTAAAAAGCCTTACAGAATTAGCCAGTACATTATGCTGAAGCACTGGAATCAGTGAGAGCATTCAATTGCACACCAGAAGCAGCTCTGTCATGTTCGCTTCCACTTTCAGGAAAGTGAAACTCACACTGAAATCAGACAAGGAGGTGGTAAAATGTGAGACTGAGGAGAATACTTTGCTTCTCATCCCAAGCATGCTAATCTAAGAGGTGACCAGGAAAACACTGTCCACTCTAATACAGTGCTGGTTTGGAAAGATATACATATCTGAATTCTCAAAAGCATTTTTTCTGAAGTTTCAGATTCAGACATTTCAGTCTAACTCAGCCTGGGAAACTACAAAAGGTAAGAACATTGCCCACAAAATTCCCCATCTATACAAGGAGAACTGACAAGATTTATCCTTCTCCATAGACCCCAGTAGCTCTTCTTAGCACATTCTGTCTCAAACTGTGCACTTGCAGTTGCACCAGGATATCCCATGGTAAAGAGCTGCACTCCATACCCCATCCGCACTGCAACAGTTGGTTTATCATGAAACACAGAAGAAGCTCTAACTCCCCCTCATAGTCAACTCCCTTCATCTTACTGCTCTCTACAGTCCAGTCTGGGGGGGTAGGTGGAGGGAATGGCTTTCCACTCACCCCACCAGGAAACCATCACCCATCACCCGTGACTTGAACAGAAACCACCCCTCTGCAAAGCAGATAAGAAAATCCATCTGGAAGTCCAGGAACATGACACATCCTTGGTCACCTCCTGAGACATCTGGAGGAAGTTCCCAAGGTCAGCCTGCCATTTCATACCTGACTACACAAGTGTTTGGTATTGAACATCTAAGGAGCTTTGCAAATGAGTGACTTATAGGGTTATGTGAACACTTACACTTAGATGTCTCTTCAGACACCAGATTCTAGTCTCTGCAGTGAATGTAAAAAAAAAAAATTCCAGTAGTTTCAGTGAAAAGTAGAAGTTTTGAAAATATATTTCTACTTCACATTACCCTGCATTGTTTGTAATTCCCCAGTAGTAGCAATAGCTGCACTTTCTCCTAAATACAACTGCAAAACATTGATCAACTTGTCATTCAAGTGCCCCAAAATTTAAGCAGAAACTCAGACTGTTTCTCTCTAGGACATCACTTATTCCTATACTTGTATATTCAGGGTACATTCCCTATCTAGTGCCTAAATTTGTGAGCATTGTAACTGGGGCATGAAAGAGGGTTAACTCTAAGAACATTATGTCAGTGATCAATGCTTGCTGCATTATGACTTTTCCTGGAAAGGAGTTTAATGAACAGAGTCCCACCACTTAAAACATTGTGCCTTCAGCATCACGTAATTTTGACATAACACTTATATTTTGAGATGCAATATTACCAGAAACAAAGTTATGTCAAAGAGTTATGTAGGAAAAGGATCCCTTAAGTAACAGTCAAAATCCACTCAGTCAATCAAGCATCTGGTTCTGAAATGACTGTACATTCCACGGTCTGTATGCACTGTGGCCACGCTGACTGCTGCTCTTGGAAAAGCTTGGAACTCCACAAACAGACATGTAATATACCCAGCCAGCAGGAAAGACCACCTTAGGACACAGGTTACTTTTTCTCTTACGGTAACAAGGAAATAACTTTTTGCATTTTAACAATCCGCTTGCCCAGCAGAAGACCAGAGTCTGCATAATCAAACTTAGCCCAGAATGAAGTAACAAAAGAAACTGAACTGAGAGGGAGTCAACCAGCCTCTGAAGTGGAAAATAGCCATTAAATTCCATGAAAATTCATCAAGGACATTTAAACTTAGACTCAAAACTCAGCTACAATGACATATAAGTGAAACCAGAAGCCACTCAGGATTGAGAGAGCCACTGGAAAATTATGGTACTCAATCTCTGAGTAATTCTCAAGAGCCAGAGAACATCAATGGTTTCCAGTTGAAGGATGTGAGGGACTAAATCTGTTAAGCACAAACCACAACTGAGATGTCTGGTTTAATTGTAGCAGTCTATATGCCATCTTGATCAAACGGTTAAAAGCTTGCAACAGCACAGTGGTATGGGACAAGGCAAGTCACAATGAAACCCAGAGGTAGAGCAAATCCAAATAAAGCAAACTATAAAACCAGTCCTGAGGGTCAGGTCTATTTTAGGAAAGTCAGCAGCTGAGAACTACTTCCAGACCAGTTGCAACATATTCCAAGGAGTTTATAGTACCAAGACTGTAAGACCACTACTTCAGAGCACTTCTCCCAGCCACCACAACAAATCCCATTGTGCAGAAAGCAACAGACACACCAGCGCATCCAAAATACTATATTCAAGTTTTAGATTATGAAACACAGTTAACTTCAAGGTGAACAGCCAAACCAACACAAGAATATGTTTGCCTTCATTTGTGATCTGCAATTAGTTATTCTCTTTCAGGAACAAAATGCACTATACAATGTTCTGCAGGAATAAGGAGATTAAGTTGCTCATACAAAAGAACATTGTCTTGTGATATAAGACCCAAGGCTCCAACCTCCCTTGCTCCTCTGGCAGCAATACCTGAGGAAATTCCCAAGGCCAATGCCTGATGATGAAAGGCAAGAAAAAAAAATCTTGTCTCAATTGGAGAACTGGAACAAAAGATCACCACAGAGGGCCTTCAGCAGGCTATTAACAGGTTACTGCACTCAGACTTCTCCAGACAATGCAGGAAAGATACTCATCCCCACTTTATTTTCAATAGGTTTTGCTTCCAATTAAGATTAGATGCATCCCTTGAGGAATCCTCAATGACAGTGCACAAAAGATAAAGGACTCATGAGACACAGAGAAACAGTACAGAGGCACAGAAAAGGCAGATGGAACAGGCCAGGGGATACAAGCCTCAACCTCAAGATGCTGTCTGTCAGAAAAGGTGGATGACAACCAGTTAAGAGAAAGAAGTCTTAGGTACAGTGGAACATGTCCTCACCAAAGACCAATAGAGAGGAAGCCAGTTTGACTTACAGAACCTAGTTTCATTCACTTTTCCAAAAACCACTTTCTGCTTCAATCCAAGCAACTCTTTGAAGAGTCTTCTAAAAATGTGTGGAAAATATCTGAACTGAATGAATGACCAGTGAAGAAGAAGAAGCAGTGAAGAAGCAGTGAAGAATCATAATGACTATCATAGATGTCTCTGAGTCTCTGAATTGCAGCTGCTCTACGGACAACAGCTCATAAAGCTGCTGAAGCTGCAAATAGGCAAGAGTGGGAGATAGAAACACAGGCTTCTTACTCATGGGGCAGACAACACTGTGCCCTCAACCAGCCTCTGCAGCACAGGCTCCACGCAAAGATCCCCAAAGACTTATTTTTGTCTAACTCTTGGAAGCAGCAGGCTCCTCCTCCAGCTGCTGCTAATCCAGTACATGCACCCACTGAGGCAAGCACATACATCAAACATACTGTCCTCTCTTTGATGTGCTGCTCTTCAGAAGGGGAACGGCAAGCAGATTAGATTCCTTCATGTAGTGATCTGACAGGGCCTGTAAACATCTTGTGCAAGGACTGCCACATGCTGAGAGGAGGAGCAGCCCTACAATAGCTTCCAGACCTTCTTCAGACCAAATTAGCCAAGATGGATGCTGGAAACCCAGGGGAAATTCCAGTGGATTTAGAATACTTCCCCTCACGCACTTAGAGCAGCCAAGCATTCCAGGAAAACGTCTCCAGTTAGAAAGTCCAAGGAAGGATTCAGCAAACATCAACAACTAGCTGACTAGTTAGTCAACTGAATCAAAACACATTGAACAACAACTCAGCCCATTAAATTCATACAGATGGTTGTAGATCCAGCTTGTTCTGTAACTAAATCACACACAGCACCTTTGCTGCTTGTTGAACTTAATCAAGATTGCAAAGTCCATCCAAACATCTGAACTCAGCTTCCAGAAGCCAGAAAAGAGCAGCTGTGTTCTGAAGTTATGAATGCTTAACACACTGCAGCAGTTAGAAGCATATGATGAGCAACATGTATATTAACTAGTAGTATTACAATGACCTGTAACCAATAAAAACACTTCAAAAGAGCAAAATTATATGAAAAGCTCAAAATTTAAACCAAAGAAACAATCAACTAATATGTGAGAAAGCCACACAAAGGTTATTTGTCACTGTCAATAATTACTACCTTCCACCAGTCTAGCAGTCCCCAAAGTGCAGCAGGCACTCCTCAGGGAGGGCACAGAGGGTGTAGTAAGGGAGAAGAAGGGACTTAAAACACTCAAGAAAAATATACCTGTGTTTTTTGTCCTGCCTATTTCCTCAGTTAAAAGAAAAATAATTCTTTTATCTCTAGCATTTACATGAATACTGTTCCTTTACTTATGAATAAATGTCACATTGTAGACATGGTCCATGATTAAAAACAGAACAGCTGTCACAGCTTCAAGGCTTCCTCTTCCAAACCATGAGAAATAGAAAAGAACTGCCTTTCTCTAAGAAAAGTTTATTAGCTTGACATTTCAAAACCATACAGCCTTCTAAAATCAAAACTAAAGGCAAGAGGTAGCACTCAATGTAGACTGGACTAAAATAATAAGATTTCTACCATGTACATGTTCAATAAATAAAGAACCAAAAATTCTTGCATTTAAACAGGATCTAATCAGTCTTTTGAAGATTCCACATTAACCTGTTGAGACCTCCAGATTTCCTTGAAGAACCTGCAAACAGCAAGCCCCAAAAGCAACAGCAACCCATACAAAATAATCCCCTGCACTACAGGGAACTGCAGCACAGAAATACTGCGGATCGAGATCATCCAGGCTTGTCACACACATCTCTAGCAGTAACTTGACTTCAAACAGGTTTGTGTAAAAGGAAGGTGGTGCAATATGTCCCAGTATCTTCACAGCTTTAGCAGTTTGTTACCAGTTTATGCCACGAACCAGGAGTAGTACTCCTGGATTAAAAAACAATAATAAAACTACGAATTGTCAAACCTGAAAGAGCAAGGAAAATGCAAACATCTTTGTTATAAAGGAGAAATCACAATCAAATAAATGCAAATTCTACAAATTCAAAGGATTGAGCTGGGTCACTGTAACAAATAATTAGTGACATGCAGAGATCCATACAAAGTATTTTCTCACTGCATTGCTCACCTGATCTTTGCAAAACGGTTGAGAAGTTCCCACAAGGTCTGTTGACAGAGGAAGGTGTCTTGCAAACGGGAGCCATCGTCTAACTGTAATGCTATCCGAACCTACAAGGACACCACAACTAATGAATCTGAAAATTGAATGAAAATTTATTCTTCTTCACAACTCTTTAAAATACTTCAGTGCTTCTTGTTCATTGATACAGGCCTGAATTCCCGTTCATTGGGATTAATGGTTTCTGAGCATGGTGGAGGCCATCCTGGAATACTAACCAGCTTTCATGGGCCCTCTCCCCTCCCATATCTTGAACTAGAACATATTCAGAGAAAAGCCAATGCAAACATCCCAAATAATGTGCCATCATGAGCAACGGAGGTGTTCTGTTTTATACCAGATGAAACTTTATATTAAGGGTCTTCACAGCTACATAAAACAAATTCCAATAACCCAGACACGACTGATGCAGCTGCACCATGTAAAACACCAACACAGAGCTCTGTCTACCTCAGCATCATTTTACAGAACAATTTCCCTGGGACAAAACAAGTCAATTGCATATCCACACACAGAAACAATGAACACAATCCCCATCTATCCCTACTTTACTGAAGACTTAAACAACTGTTACCAGTCCAAAGAAATTACGTTTGTAACTTGCTTGTAACACTAATGGTTCCTAACCACCACATTTTGACATACAATTTAAGAGTGAAGTAACAAAAAATCTCAGCAATAGTTCTGGTCATTAAATTATCGAGTTCTTGAACACCTGCAGAAAAAGGCAAGAGCCAGCTAACTGCCGATTTGAACAGGTCTTTTCCAACCTGGAATGTGAACATCCACATGCATTATAAGGCACTATAAAAAAGAAAGAAAGACATTTCTGACGTGAACACATGCTGGGGTCTGTCCTGACAAACTTCAAACTCCTGACTGTCCCATGGGAAAAGTTTAGCAGCTAATCAAGAGAGAGAGAATTATCTATTCTCTAGATAATATTCTGCAGAGCACTTTAGGTGTTATCTTAACCTTTTAGAGAATATTCAGCCTTTTCCAGAATGTCTAACTCTTAAGTTTTCCCAATTAGCTCACCTGTCTAAAGAAAAATCATACAAAGTCCTGTAGCCACTAGATAGAACCTGGTTTCTCCAGTCAACTTTAGTTCTCAGAAGTCCACAAAAACCAGCTTTATTCCAAAGCCTGAGAAGGACATTAGCCCAAGATAGCCAAAGCCACTTTCTTTCACTCTGTGTTTTCATGCATCCCTACTAATACTCTCAGTGCAGCCTCTCACCAAGTGCAAGGTGTATGTGCAAGCAAAAGAGTAGGAGCTACAGAGAGGTGGGAAAGAGACATCACATGTTCCAGCAATTCACTGATTTCCATGGATTTGTCATCTGCCTTGGCTCCCACCAGTCCTCGCAGGACTGCAAATGCTGATCTCCTGGAGACAGGAATTTTTCTACATAAAGGAAACAGTGGCCGACAGTACAATGTGGTCTCACCCTACCACTAACACAATCTCCCAGTTTCTCCTATATGGGAGACAAGCTTTAGATTATTCTCAGCTACAGCAGAGTGATGACAGCTGACATCACCATTCTGTAAGAATCCAGGCCAGAAATTCAGACTACCAGTTGCATCAGTTTTTGGGCAACAGTTCAAAGCTAAACATGTCACGAAAGTCCTGTTCACTCCATTAGAAAAGTCTCTTCAAAAACCCCAGGTGCTACATAAAATAGTAGAGACCAGTGCCAATTATCATTTAAGTTTACAAGCATTTAAACAAGAGGCTGACAACTTTAACACCAGAGCTGAACTGATGGTGCTCCTGCGTCATCTGCCATCACAAAGGGAATTTGTTCCATTTTTCACTAAAGAACTCTCTTACAGGAAACAGTGTGTTCCCCATGCAAAGGCAAATCCAAAAGCTTTCTATTTTTAAAACATCACATTTGCTGAACAAACTCATGATTTATCAAAACCTGTATTCTGTCTCTAGGGTAACTGCTGTAACTAAAGGAAAGCACACCTACTTCGACTCACATAACAGAACATACAATAACAAAAGACACAGAATCAAATTCATCCCAATATTATTGCAGCCAGCTGGCGTGACTGAAGTGCCACTGCATCTGAAGTGCCACTACATTCCAGCCACAGTCACCTGGCTGTTACAGAATTCCCTATTTTTTAGCACATTCTCCCTGTGGTAGGGAATTCTTTTTACTTGGTTCTTCTGTACAAAGTCTTTTCTTACACTATGAAATTCTCCCAAGTAAAATCTGCTCACGTTTGTGGGGCAGGGACTCAGTTTAGACTCCACTCTTCACATGCACATTTGCTGTGTCTTCCCACCTTCATGACACAGCAACCAGCACTCCCAGGGAAGCCTCACTTCTGTATATTGTGTTGTTGAACTGCAGCTAAATAGTAACAACTTACACTTCTATTAGTGTAAGTAGATCACTCTTTTGTGATCTAGAGTAACAATTCCACACTATAACCCCTCTCCTAACAGTGAATAGTCCTTCTTGCCCTTTCTCGCAATTTAAGTTCAAGGAAAAAAAAAACATCATTGTTTTCCTTCAGTCCCTCCCAAACTGGATGCAAATGTCAGATAGTCATCACTGCACCATTTCAAGAGAAACACTTTTCTCTGGAAGACAAACTCCTTTCCACCACAACATTTCACTGAAAATTTTAAGCAAATGCTACTGGTTTGCGGTATTTTTTAAAGTAAAGACATTATTTCAAGCACAAATGTCTTTCCACCCCCAAATCAGAAAAAAGGTATTAGTGCCAAAGCAAAGAACATGGAGGTTTTACAGAGAAAAGTATGGACATCAGGGACCCCCAAAACTATGTCACACGGTGAACTAAAGCAGAGACTCCAAAGCCTTCTCACACCATAAAGTTCATTTATCAGTTTCTCTCAGCTACAGCAACTGCCTTAACAATCACCACTAGCACTGCTTGGCTGACAGACATTAAGAGATCAGCACCAACAGACCTGAAACTTACATGAAAATGGAGAAACTTCCTATGAGGAAGATAAAAAATAGCAAGATGACTGTTAGTGGTAGACAAATTTCCATTCCCAGGCTACTTAAGTAAGACCACACATCATTTTTACAACATGAAAAGTTCATACTCAGTAACACCTATGCATCACTTGAAAAGTTAGGTCTATAGCCACAGGGATATGTATAGAAAAATATTACACACCTAAAAGTGCTCAGAATTTCTAGAGAAAACACCATCCAAAAGTCCTTTGCAAATAATACTAAAAAGGGACATTTGCCCACTGATAACACAGAATATGTCACCAAAGACTCTAAAGCTCTGTAAACACACCATGAACAGCAATGCTGGGAAAGCAGCAAAACAGGATTCTGTAAGAACCTGAGATTTAGTCAAAATCCGTAACTGGACAACAGCAACTGAAACAGAAATTAGGAAAGGGAACTGAATTAGTCATGACTGATGACTATTGACTTCTTAGCTATCCATGACCACTAGTTTTTCAGCTCCCCAAGACATCCCACTCTCCTCTAGTACAGCTGGTACCCCATGCTCATGCAGACTCTAAACAAAGACTTTCAGCTACTTAATTACTATTTTCAAAAGCACTGTAACCAATTTTTAGCTGGTCTCTCACAGAGGCATTGGCCAAGCCAGCCTGTGCTCTTAGTCATTAGCTCTGATGGGATCCTATCAGCACAACTGGTAACTGAACAGAACAGGTAACGTTGTGTAAATGAACATACCGTGGTTCCAGCTCCTGCTCTGACGGAGATTGGCACCATCTCCAGTTTGGCATTGTTGGGCAGCCTAGCAAATCTCCACTGCAAAGACAGGTCCAACACATTCCTCTGAAACCTGAGAGAGAACAGAGCCTATGAGCAATACAAAGTCCAGGTACTGTGCAAGAGAATTCCCAGGAGGCTGACCAGAAGCCATAGAACATGATTCAACAATGAACAATTGGTAATTATAAAAGCATCATCAACAAAAGCTATTCTGCACAACAAAACAGCTGCAGTTCATAGAGGTTACAGAGAAGATACCCAAATCTACGTTCTCCCTTTAAAGGTTTTTAAGAGATAAACAGCAACCAACTACGTAACCAATCCTGGTTCGACTCTTTTTTTTTTTTTTAGTGCTCAGACAAACGAGTTCACAATTAAGACACCATAAAAGCAGAGGCTCGAACTCCCAGGTAAGAGGGGAGATGGGCCTTGCTGGTCTGTGGCCTGGATGAGGTGCACGCGTGGGTGTCCCGTGGCAGCGACACGGGGCCTCGCCGTCTGTCCCAGCACCGAAAGGAACGTAGCACAGGGAAACCGGGGCGAACCGACCTGCACAGAGTTCAGTGTGTGCCCCGGCTCCCCGTACTCTCACCGCCCGCCGCGGATTCCGCCAGGCCCCGCGCGCGCCGCGGGGAAAACGGCGGCGGGCAGGGCCTCTCCCACGGCCGCAGGCAACCCCACGGTGACACTCACTTCAGGCCGTACTCGCCAGGGCTGCCACCCTGCTTCCTACAGACCTCCTCGAGGACCTGCGGAAAGAAGAGAGGCGTCACGGCCAGCCTGCGGCCTTGCCACCGTCTTCCCCTCAGCCCCCTCCTCATCGCGGACCCACCTGGAGCAGGACCGTGCCGGGCCCCACCCGCACGGTCACCCGCCGCCCGCTGGGCGCCAACACCGACACCGCAGCACCGCCCCCACCCGCCGCCGCCATCTTCCCCTGCCGTGCCGGCCCCGCGCGACCGGGGCGGAGTCGACCCGGGGCCGTCCTGCTGCCGGCCCGCCCCGCCGCGCCCGGAGGGGAGGAGGAGGGGAGCGCTGGCCCGGCCCGGCCCGGCCGCTGCGGGAGCGAGCGGTCGCGGACAAGTCCCGGCCTGGCGGAGCCGGCTCGCGGCGGGACGGGCAGGAGGCTCTGAGGCCGGGACGGAGCGGTTCGCCCGCGGCGAGTGCCGGTCCGTGGGCGCGAGAGGGGCTGGCGGCAGCAGCTGCCCTTGGACACGGCGGACGGTGGGCGGCTCGGGCTGTACCCCCGGCACTGGGCGGGGGCTACCCGCGGCCCTGCCCGCTGGGCCGGGGCGGGGGCGGCTCCGGAGCCGCCGCCGTCTCGTAACTCCGCGGGGAGCGGGAGGGGAGCCAGCCACACGTCCCGCTGTGGCTGTCCGCACTTGTGTTGTCCCTTGGGTTTCCAGTGTCAGGATCCTTCTCCAGGGAAATAAAACATTTTCTCGTTTTAACGGGACCCTGCCCGGCAGCGCAGGCGGCGACCCCTAACCGAGGGCCGGCCGGCCCGGGCGTCCCCAGGCAGCGCCGGTGGCCAGAAATCTCTTGGGCTTTAGGGTTCGTATCTCTCACCCAAGCAGTGATACCGAAAATCCCTGCGCGTACAAGGAAGGCTTTCGTGGGCGAAATACAAGCCCTGGCGAACGCCGCATGTCACAGGGGAATGGGGACCATCCTGCCGACTTCCCAGTGCCACAGGAGTTCCCAAGCCAGTGTCACAATCGGGGCGTCGTTGGTCAGACAAAGCACAGCATCCTGCTGCCTCTGAAAGACATTTCTTCGGGGAGAAAAAAAAAAAAAAAAGCTGATTTGGAACCTCGTGGTCAGTGCTGCAGACTCAGATGGTCAGGAGAGATGGCTGCAGCCAAGGAACCAAAATTATTATCATACATTTCACAACACACAATTTCCCAGAGACTTTATTTCATTTATGGGTTTCCCCTTCAGCCTCAGCATGGCCTCTGCATCAAAGGCAGTCTGAGATTCGATGACTGTCTGTTTAGTTTGCCATCATAAAAAGAAAACAGAACAACTCACAAAAAAAAAAAAAAAAAAAAAAAAAAAAAAAAACCAAAAAAAAAAAAAAAAAAAAAAAAGCCAACTAAAACCCAAAACTTTTAGTTTGAGTAACCGTTGGAATTTATTTAGCCTAAGTTGTAACCACATGCAAAATGCTTTCTCTTTTCTCTACTTCTTCTATATTTATCCTATATGTTAAGTCTCCACCTCTACCCCAGCATCCACAAAAATGTCTGGTTTGCTTGGCTTGTAAAAGAAAAAGATCCTTTCAGGGACAGACACTTTCATAAAAAGTAACACTTGCTTGTGTTAACCATATCACCAGTGCCAGAGAAGGGAGAAAAATGGGAATTTAAATAATGGAGAGACTTCCCCAAGTTTATGCATGTGGATTCCTAAGTTCACCCAATACCGTAGTGAGATGTGGTTCAGTGAGATGCAGAAATAGTAATAAAGGATGTCCGGGCAAAAAATGTTTAAAACAATGCTTAAAAATGTCTTTGCATTTTGTTCATTCCATTGGGCAGTATCATTGCCATTACATTTATAGAGATATAGTGTTCAGGATATATAGTTTTCTACCTTTTCAATTGCCTTTTGCTGTAAATATATATGAAGAGGTGTGAAGATTTAAGGGAAAGATTTTTCTCAAAGTTGACACACTTGTCTAAAAAGGGGTGCAACAAATACCTGATATTCAAGTACTTCTTAGTCTTTAAAATAGAGAGAGATCCAAAGCTCTGCAACTATCTCACACATAATGAAAATATCCCATTCTTCCACTAATTAATACTGCCACTGGAAGCGAAGAAGCAATTAAGATTACTTTGTTAACTGCAGTGACTATACCCCTGCTCAGGCAGAGCAGCCATTCCAATCTGAAAGATACACTTTGGATTTCATGGCCCAAAACATTGGTCTCATTTATGGATGGGTGTAGCTCCTATTTGATGTCTGAAGCAGGCAGCTGTTTAATCTTTTGCACCTTTTTTGCATCTGGAAGTGACACATCCCTTAAAGAAAAGTTGCTCTCATAAAAAGACATCAATGTAATTTGAGCTGAACATTTCCAAGTTGTGGGATTAGAGGTGATTCTGGCTATTAGATATAATAGTATGCCATAAAGTTGCATGGAGGAGAAGGGTCACATTTCATACCCAGAGCCACTTCTAATCTCAAATATCTATCTGAAATTAGAAGCATCAGGAGAGAAATGGGGGAAGTGACTACAACCTGGAGTCCATTAAAGTGCCACAAAGAAAGAGGACCTCATTTGGGAATGGCTGAAAACACCCTTATATCTGATTTCTGCCACTGTCAGGCTGGAGGATGCCTGCAAATCTACCAGGTGAGCCCCAGCCAAACATCCTCCAAAAATTTGTCTTAAATTGCATTTTTCTGGTAATTAGAGTATACACGCTGCAATATGACTTTTCCTGGTCTCACTTTTTAGGCAGCTGGTGCTTTCATTAGCCCTGGCACTGTCTGCATCTGCATTGTCATTTGTCACAGGCATAGAGGGCGTAACACATATTTGCTTCTTCATAAAGTAGCAAAACCTCACCTGCTTTTATTTTTTATTTCTTCTTCCAAAATGAACAGGAAATTAGCTGTGATCATCTAGAAATATGTAGTAACAAGTTCCAAGACATGATGCAGAACAAGCTGCTTATCACTGTAACAATAATTCTGGAGTGTTTCAAGAGACATTCCTGGCTCTTACCAGAGCATCACCCAGCAGATCACATCTATACCCAGGTTTTAAGAGGGCTCTACTGCTCTCCTGGAGTTCTTTACAAGCCTTGGCCCCGGGGTCAGGAGGCAGCAGTAGCATGACTGTATGAAAGCAGGATTCTGTAGGTGAGTAGTTCTGTATGGGGAAATTTACACACAACACAAGACCCAAGCAATGAGATGGGGAGCTTGGTCTGAGCCAGGGCTGCAGAGTGGCTCAAATCAGGAATGAGAGGTGGCTGTGAAGGGGAACTATACCTGTGGTACAAGCCCTTAGGACCCAGCTGTAACTCTCTTGGTTTCTGGGTTTCCTTGGGAAACAGCTGAAGGACCAGTGCTGGGGCTCCTGTAGGGCTGGCAGGGTATGAGGGAATTCAGAACTGTCTCATAAGCTTTGGTACAGCATACCCAATACACGGAACATATTAGGGACATATCTCAGGACATAGTGGAACGCATTATCCAGGACATTTCACTTTCAAGGGTATTAAATGAAAACAATACCTCCCATAACATTATTCACAATCATGAAAAGTCTCCTGCTTGCCTTCTATGTGCTTCACTCCTACCAATAAAAATTATAAATCTCCAGTGCCTGGAGCAGGACTCCAATTCTGTCAGCTTTCTCTGAGCTTCTTTTTGTACTGAGGCCAATCTATTAAATGTAGGGAGGCTTATATCAAAAGATTAAAACTCAGCGAACCTCTTGCGCTGAAGTATTATAAAATTACCTAAGATCTGTGTCACTTTGATTGTCACTCAAGTTCAGTATGTCAAGGAGCTGAACGGTACCAGATTTAAATGTTTAGAAATCAGAGAGGCTGTTACACCAGACCTACAGACTTACATTCTTCCTCATAGCCCCTTTCTCAGCCATGAAAAGTAATAGAACATTTTACTCAGCTTTGGAAGGATAGCAGGAGTGCTCTGAACGAACCCTCCCCTGAGTGACCTAAACCAGAGGTCAGAAAGCTGAAGAGGGCTCAGTAAAGCCAAGCCACACAAAATTTGAATTTCTTTGCTTCACTTCTTAGGACAAAGATCTGCAACTTTAACATGCATTCCTCTCTACCATAAGATGCCTCCCTGGTGCACCATAATCAGTCACCCCTTAATGTGCCAGCTGGTTACCAAGCAAGGCATTACAGAGTGCAGGAACTCAGCCCTCCACGGAGAGAAAGAGCAGGGACACCAGGAGGAATGCAAGCCTGGCAACGGGAGGCACAGCAGCTTTACTGTGAGGGATGCAGTTCAGCAATCTTACCCCTTCTGGTTTCTTGCTGTACCTAGTGGACTATGAGGTCCTGAAGTTGTTTATGCCATCTTTCCAGGGATCCTGGAGCACACTGAGGACTTACTGCTTCAGACTTTGCACTAACTGACCAGTTTCTAGATAAAGCTCTCCTCAGGCTGACTGATGAGTTCTTTAACTTGCCATAACTAGCCTCAGTGATCCCTTGCTTGGACCTGGCAGGAACAGTGAGGAAGAGAGGTTTAGGCCAGCGTAGAGAAAGATACAATGACGCAGAAATGTGCTGGGACCAAAAACTTGTCCGGGGTGAATGTAGTGCACTTGAGGAAGTGCACAGTCAATTGAATAGCTTTTCTTGACTTTAAAGATACTGTTGTCAGTATTAGCACTTAAATAAAACATTTGGGGGTAAAAGCCTGAGTGAGAAGAGAGAACAGAGAACTGATAGTACATAAGAGAACTAAAATATAAAAAAACCAACATGGCAAGCAAACCAAAACCACATGCTAGGTGTGTAGGAAACATGGAGTTGAGCCTACATTCGGAAAGTCCAAACACAGTAAGGTAAAAAATGTAGTTGCAGCAGTTGGACAGCCCTAATTCCAGCTTGATGAAAAAAAACTTCCACGTGCTATTTTAAGATTGTACTATTTTCACCTTTTCTGATCCCAGATAGATTATATTTCCCAGTAAAGATAATCTTCCTGTTCCTTCTTGGAGGGCTGGTTAGGAGCATATTATTCAAAGTGTAGTATTTTCTCTGTTTTTCCTCGGTGTTTAACTCCGAGGTCTGCAATAAGGCCATTTCCAGGGAATTCCCCCTCTCCCAAGGTGACAACCCGTCTTTTTCTCCGCGATTTTTCTTGCAATTCCTGGAAACATCCAGGGCCCGGGGAAGAGCGGCCGGCGGTAAACCTCGGGAGCTGTGAAGAGCAGCAGGG